TATTTGATTTCATTGAATTTGATTATCCAAACAAGTAGTAAATATTTGTTGTAACACCATTCTTTAATTACTTAGGTAGATAATAATTTCAGGTACTGCTGTATGGAGAATGTCATTAATGGTGGAATTACTTTTTTTCAAAAATAGTGATTGAAGTTGAAGAAGGTGATAAATGCATTTATTGAAGTGAATCTCGTAATGTCATTCTCGACATTTTATAAACATACGAATGATAGTTTAAATGTAATTCTCGAATTTTCAAATTTTGAGAATAACATTAAACACTAAACAAACTTAGGGAATTGTTTCCAATTGTAATGTTCTTAGTGTATTAATCGGTTAGATTTCCTTCTACTACTTCATGACTAGAATTTTATTTATCATTGTATACACAATTTAATGCGTACGAAAGAAGTCATGAATGACTCGTTTCCATAAGTCACTAGACGATACAAAATAGTAATCACAACAAAAACAGGGCATAACATGTCTGCATGTTGTAGGTCACTACACACACAAAATAGTGATCACCACAAAACATACCCATTACTTATATGGATTTTTATGTCACTAGATATACTTCAACATTACACGTACGACGATTGCATCTTTTATATATCCTCCACAACGGACAAAGAGTACATCTCACTATCATCCTAGTCGTCTGAGCTCATGATGATCACTTCTTCATTTCTTGTAGGAATCCCTGCGACATTGTTATCAAACAATACGTGGTGTGCTTCCTGTGGGATTTCTACTGGGACGATCTCATGCTCGACAATACGATTACCCATTCCAACTTCGAATGACTCAATTTCTTCGTTTAGATTCGAAAATGGAATGGGATGAAGGCTTATCCTATGGCCACGGTTTCCCGGTTGAGGAACATATGAAACAAAAATCTTGACATCTTCATCATCTTCCAAGTCGATGATGATCGAGTTGTCCGCGGACGACCCTAGTGGGGAGAAGTTAGTAGCAACATCGAGATGAAGAGTTTCTTGGGTGGATGAAGACATGATCAATGGAATAACTTGTTAATGGTAGTAATTTCATATTCAAGCCAAAACCAATGTTTTATAGTGGATGAGTACGTCTTGTGCAATACATGAAATATTAATCACACCAACTCCCACCAATTTCCATTTATATTTGATCGACACTTATTTCACATCATTGGGTGTAGACATGGTACTTGTGATATGAGGAGTTTTTTTGGTGGATAAAGACATAATCAATGGAAGGAAGACCTAGTTAATGCTTGTCATTTCATATTCAAGCCAATGTCAATATGTTATATTAGATGAGTATGTGTAAATCAATGCATCAAATATGAATCACACCAACTTCCACCAATTTCTATTTACATTTAATTGGCACATCTTTCTCATCATTGGGTGTAGACCTTGTACTTGTAATATGAGGAGTTTCGTGGTTTGTTGAAGACACAATGGATGGAACAAGTAGTTAATGCTAGTAATTTCATATTAAAGCGCATTGAATTGTTGTATGGTTGAACTGTACGTATTTTCCAATTCATTTTTCTTGACATTTCATACATTTCTCGAAATTTGTATTCAAATCATCTCGACACTTGAAAAGTTATCGACATTTGTATTCGAATCATCTCGACACTTGACATTACACTTGTCTAGAATGACATTTCGTCCGAAACGGGAGATTTCTCTACATTTCATACGATTTCTCGACGTTTTATCTATCATTCTCAACATTAGATATCTGCCAATCTTGACACTTGATATTTCAACTGTCAGGAACGACAATTCGTAAGTGTACACAATGTGAGACCAGAACAACATGCATGCAATTGAATGACAAAATGCCCAATTTTCTCAATTTCAATTATACATCAACACTAAGAACTATACCATCAACCAAAATATCTACCTAATGATCGTAAACAAAATGAAAAATATCAATAATTTTTCCAAAAACAATACCATGCTATGCCAACATTGTAAAGTAACTACTCATTCATCTTACTCTTTCGACGACCAAATCGTGTAAACAGAGTCTAGTGTTAGCATTAGGCACCTTCACCCTGATGGATTGAGGTCGTGATGGCGGTGGAAATATGTAAATACCTCAAAAAACTACAAAAACGAATAAATATTGAACAAAAAAAAAAAAATCAAAAAATTGCTTTATTCAAAGTAAAATAAAAATCTACTAACAGTTCATATCACCAAACAAATTGGACTTCAAAGTTGCTGTATTCAAAATAAAATGAAAATTTACATCCCAAATTCAACCATCAGACACTAAATTCCATTCTCAATCACCAGAAAATCCAATTTGCCACCATGATTATCCATGACTAGTGATGATCAAGATTTAATTTTACAACGTGACTTCTCATGTGACTAGTGATGATAAACATCTGATGCTATCAATAAACCCAATGTTACTACTACAGTTTTCCAGTTGAAAGTACAAAATACTTTTCCAGAAAACATTTTAGGAAATGCAATTTTTGTATTCCATAGCAGTGATAAGTTTTGTTTATGTTTTCAAAGTTAAGACAAACGTGAGAAGAAAGATGACTTGCATAATTTCAGAATGAACGAAGCTATACACACATACACACACACACAAATATGTGGTTACACTCATTGTATTAGACAAGCAAACAAATTTGCAGGTGTTACCAGTATCGTTTGTATTGTGTACATAAAAAAAGTACATGTTTCCCAAAAAAAAAAAAAAAGGATTTCTATGAGTTATTTGACATATCGACAAAGTTAATCTCACTTTGCAGCAGAATACCACAATTTGTAATGAAGCAAGTGATGAACTTTCATAATTGACTATTACAGAATTCAGAATTCCTACAATTATTACCATCATAGTTTCGTAAAAACTCAACTACTGTATTACTGCAGAAAATCGATATCAATGTAAGGCAGAATCTGAGCAGCAAATAATTGAAAATGAAGCACATATTCATCAAATAACTTATGGTTACTACCTTAATGTAGAAGACTGTTATATGAATCTGCAATTGCTCTCCTGCAGAAACAAATATTCAGTTCCTCCAAAATTTAGTTTCAAATCACAGAAATAATTGTAATAGAAGAAAGCCCTTATACTTGATATACAAAATTCAAATTTGAACAACAAAAACAGTTCCAAATCCAAATCTTAAACCCATTTTATACTTTTTATCACATTAAAACTCAAACCAGCTGAAAACTTATAAAATGGCATACGAGAGTACAACAATATGAATCAAAATCCAAAAAGATCATAGTTTTTCCTTTCAAAGTTTGATCAGAATACCCAAAATGGAAGTGCCAAGGAATTAAATCCCAGAAACCCTATTATGTGATCAGAGAAGAACTATGCAAAATGATGCAAGATCCACTTATTGCTACATAATCAAATTTGACTAATCTTTTAATGAACAATTTTTGGCAAGAAAAGACATATGTACATACGTACTTTTGTATAATAAAGTAACGTTGAAGGAAGAAGCTTATATTGAACTTCAAAATAGTGGTTATTGAAGCCGGTTTCGACATCCATCAAAGTTGTTCCCAGTAATCTAATTTCTTCTCTTAACATTTATGCCGACAACAGTTTATGGCACAAAGAGATAAAATCTTACAGATAGAGAACGAAGGAGCAGAAAGCAGCGACGGCGGATTTCAGTTACCCAATCTCACAGATAGAGAACAGAGGATGAGGAAGTGGCGACAGCGGTTCTCGGTCAAGTAGAGGCGTGCGTCCTCAAAACCCTACAAGTCAAGAAGTATTTGATTTGATTTTCTTTCATTTACTTGGGTGGGGTTCACGTGGGTGTGGGAAGATTTTAATGGGTCCATTGGGAAAAGTGAGTATGAATTGACCTTGTTATTAGTGTGGAATTAAAAAGTGTTAATAAGGGCATTTTCGTCTAAATAATTGCAAAATTGACATTGATAATTTTTTGGACATTTTTGCAAATGAACATGTAAAAGTGGACATTTTTTCAAATTTCCACATATTTTATTTATTATTATTTTTCATTTGCTAATGTCCAATAATATATTTTAGGAATGAAATTTAAATTGAAGTAAAAAAAAGAAGAACTTTTAAAATGATACAATCATTTATTAATGTACAATAACCAAATTTTTTAAAATTATATGAATTATACTATTAAAATATTTAATTTTACAGATTTTATATAATAAAGAAATAATGTTTAGTCATGTAATTATATGTATAATAAATAAAAGTACTGTTATATATGCAGCCAAATCGTAAATTTAATGTTCACAATATTTTTTATCGGTTGACAACCAAATAATCATCAACGTTTTGGTCCTGAGTCTTTTTGAAAAAGCTATAAAAGTAAAAGTTCCATTAATAAGGCTCCACCCATAACAGTCATGCCAAACATACCCTAAAAAATTCCAAAATTTAACCAAATCGTCGTCTGCTCACCCAAAACCAATATTCTACAGATTGATTTCATTTTGACCTTCGGTTTCTACTACAAATTTTGGATGAATTTATGGTAAACAAAAATATTATGGAGATGTAATTATTTTGTGCAAACTAAAAGAGGGGGAAAAAATTCTTTTAAGCAAAAACAATGCTTTCAATACTACACCATATTTAAGAAAAAAAGAAGTACTTTACTGCTGTTTTCCTCAGTTCCTCTGAAAATTGATTTCGTAAAAATCCTTTCCTATGATAATTACTTATCTTTCTCCATTGAAATGTTGTTTATCTTCTCCACTCGACAGAGACTAATGCTTTGCTTGTTGAATAAATTGCTCTCTTCTTTTCTATTCTTTGCTTCATTAGCATTACAAATTTCGTACACATTTTGCTGTTTGTGGAATAATTCTTTTTTTCTTTTAAACTTTACCCAGTCTCCAATGGGGCATGGTAACTTAAAGGCAAAGTAACCCGGCTCACACCTGGCATAAATTGATCAAGCATGATAATGAGAGTTATTTGACATTTGTTTTAGATTCTAAGGAGAGATAATGGGCACTGTGGAGAAGAAGAAGATAGAAGGTCGAGGATTGATAGATGTGGTGTTTTCTTGGTCTATAGAAGAAGTGATGAACAAGGATCTTTACAAGAATAAGGTTTGTTTCCTGCAATCCTCTCCCTTTTTCATTTTCTTAAACTCTTATTTTCCAGATTTTGATTGCCAATACAAATTACATGTTATTCCATTGTGTTTTAAGGGTATGATATACATGTTTTTCGTGTTGTAATTACAATTAATGATCAACAATAGTATATACGATTTATTCAAAGATAATTAATTAATATATCTTTCAAGATCGCAAATTTGTTTTCTAACTGTAGATAGTCGAAATCATACCTCTAATGTCCGACTTAAACATTGTCTTCACGTTAGATTTCTTTGACAATGATCGCAATTGCACAAAGAATCTCAAAAGACAAAGAACACAATATGTTGGGTGGAAGAGATGAATTCTCCATGGGTATTAGAATTTCCATGTGTGTTAGCTCACTTAAAATATTATTTCAATTCCTCCTATACAAATGGTTTTCAGGAGGCAGTTTTTGGTGTGGGAGCGGCGTAAGATAACTTATACTCTTTCTCATACTACTAAAAATCTACTTATTTGAAAAATTAGGAGCAAATGATCAAAACAATATTTTTTCAAAAAAATGCTACCAAACAGGGACTGAATTTTGTTCGAAAGTTCATATATTTGTATGTGAAAGTACATACATAGTCTAGAAGACGTTACGCGGCGGACACGATACACCACACTACTTGCCGTAATTTGAGAAGTAATAAATAAATAAATATTTATATATTTATTTCTTGTCCAAATAAAATAAATCAACTTGGGCCTAGCCTGACCCATGACCCGTGCCCAGCATGGTCAATAGTTGGCTGGCTTTAGCCCTGAGTCACTAACATGTGGTGGGTCCACTCATTTCAAAAACTAGTGGTAAATTCAAGCATTAAACTTGAGCTATTTAGCCCTTGTTTGGTAGCCATTTATTTGAAAAAATATTGTTTTGAATAGTGAATTTTTAAAGAACGTGTCATAAAAAGTAAACAAAAAATCCAGGTTTGTAAGTTGAATATTTTATTGTGTGAATATATGGTTGAAAATGAGTATGTAGAACAAAGAATTTTAAAAGAACAGGAGACAAGCAATGCTTAAAGTGGTTAAACGACTTTTCATCTTCCTATATGGGATACGACTTTTTTCAAATTTTCACCATTTATCCTACTTTAATTTCCAAGTTCGAATGGCTTTCTTTTGACATTCCTTCTTATTTACCTGAAATTGATTTTAAGGAAGTAAATACACTACAACGATCTACTCAAAGAGTAGAACACATTTGGCCAAAGAACTCTGATATTTGATTAACGGGTCCCATTGAAATAATTGATCAAAATTAGCCAAAACCAACTTATTAAATAACCAATTTCCAACACGACGTTGGTTGGACATAATTTCATTTTATTTATTATTGCATAATCTGTAATATGGTTGCCAGTTGCCACTGATCCAACACTTTAAATGGCTTCAAACATTTTATCTTGAAAGGTCGAGCCAATTCCGGAGACATTCTATACAGCAGAACACTATCTCCAGTCATTCAACTACCCTCTTCTAGAAGAAACACATGCTAGTCTGCGGTCAAGTTTTACTCCTAAGAGTCGTCCACCTGCACGTGAAATATTTGATGTCAACCCTGACAAAGATTTCAGACTTCCCAAAGATTTGTTCTATACCATGACATTGAAAAGATTGAGGAGTGGAAGTGAGGAAGACAAAAGAGTATATGAACCAGAGGTTGGAGATTTAATTGCCTTGACAAACGTAAGACCAGAATATATTGAAGATTTGACCACGAGTAAAAGGCCATACAGTATAGCTGTACTTTACAGCATCAAGGATGACGACGATTCCACTAGAATTA